CCCACAAATTCCACTCACACAGCGCCTTTCCCCACACTTCTTCAAGCAGAACTGTGAGGTTTGCTGCTTCCTTTCACACCCAAAAGCGGGGAGCAGTTCGCATCAGAATTTACGCATTTGCCGCTCTGCCCTCCCACACAAATCCCAGCTATCACTGTCATCTCTCTCCGGCACGCACACCATCGGCACGGCAGCTCTGCCATGGACTTTTATCAAGCTCTGTGCTAAAGAAGACGCCAGCAGCTCCCGAGCCCACCTCCAGACCGATGTCCCGGCGGTGCCTTCACTTTCCCTTCCCTGCAGCGCCCGTGCGAGCCTCGCAGCCAGAGCCCTTTCCAGCGCACCCCGCGCTGCCCGAGGAGCGCTGCGCTCTCGGGAGCCGAGGCGGCATTTCCGCGCTTCCCCCGGGGCCGCCCCAGTGCCGGGGATGCCCCGGGGCGGGGACAGGGCGGAGGCTGCCCCGGGCCCCTCCCGCCCCGCGCAGCCCCAGCGCAGCCGAGGCCGCTCGGCCGCGTCCCGGCCCGGCCAGCGACAGCCGGGACACAGCGCCCGCCTGGGCCGGGCAGCGACAGCGAGCCCCGCCGGGCCTGCCGCAAGGCTCCTCCTCCTGACACAGCCCCACAAATACGTGTAAAATTAGCCCTGAAAAGGAGAAAAACAACCATGCAGTGCTTACACTTCTTTTATTATTCCAGGAACAGGACCCACAAAATACATCCCAATAGAAGAAAAGCTATTGCATCTCTGTCTTTGGTATTAAACAGGTAAACTATGATGTTTAAGAAAATATTATTAGGATAACCATATAAGAGTAGGAAAAGAAACAAAAAAAAAACCCCAAACAAATTACAAGCAAGGCTGTGTCATTCAAATATTGCATAGGCACCATGTGCCCTTCTGTTACATTCTTGGTTAAAGGACCAGAACCAGGTGACAGGGAATAAACACAGGTGTCCTGAAGTGATGAAACAAAGATACTCACAGCAGAAATACCTCACAGTGACATCTGCTACAAAAGCATACTTTAATTCCCATTCCTGCCTAAGAGCTGGTCCAGTTGTTAGCCAAAAGCCCACATCTATGCAGGATGTTCAGCAATACCTGGAACACGCTGCCAAAAACTCCTCTCAGCTCCAGTCAATGACTCAAGGCACTCAATGGGTGAGACTGGAAGGTAAAACGGGAGGGCAGCTACAAAAGTGTTCCAGCCTTGTCACAAGCAAAAGTAACTTCTTCACTCCCATGGGCTCTCAGTGCCTGACTCTGCCTGCTGGACACCAAAAGTGAA